TTCTCCTCTCCTCCCAACTCCTGTTCGCTTCCTCTTCCCTGTTCGTCTCTTCTCTCCTCTTTTCCTGTTCTCTTCTCCTGTTAAGTTCATCTCTCCTCTCCTCCTCATCTCCTGTTCACCTCTCCTTCTCTCCTCACATCTCCTCTCCTGCTCCTTTACTATTTAGCTCACCTCTCCTCTCCTCTTTCTCTCCGTTCCTCTCCTCCTCCTCTCCTACTCACCTCTTCTCTGCACCTCACCTCTCCAGTTCACCTCTCCTTTTCTATTCAACTCTAATTATCTTTTAATTATCTCAGTGCTTTTTTATGGAAGAGGGCTGGAACTCATATCTATACTGTGTATGTTTTATATTAGTTACAGCTTTTTAAATCTGTGTTTTTATTCATCGTATTTAAAGCTTTTTTCTAACATTAACACCATCTCTTCTGGTTGCTGTAACAGCCTGGCACTGTGCGTGTCTCCCATGGCGATGCGGGTGCCAATCCGGTGTGTGTCGGTGACGAAGGAGCAGTCGCATGTGCTGGTGGGGCTTCAGGACGGAAAACTGATCGTGGTGGGGGTGGGGAAACCAGCGGAGGTAAAAAACTCCTTCAGGAACTACATCACCCAGAGGATGCACGGATCCCCCTTAATGAACACACTCAGAATGCACGCACACACACACCTGCTGCATTCCTAACTCACACACACACACACACACACACACACACACACACACACCTACTGCAGTCCTAATTCACTCACACACACACACACACACACACACACACACACACACACACACACACAGCTCCGCAAACAGAACACTTTCAGGCCGGATGTGCAACAAGAGATAATATCACTCACACACAGAACACTTTCAGACTCTACTCTCTCTCAATCTCTCTCTCTCAACGTCCCCCACCACACACACACACACACATCTCCAAGAATACTTTCAGTGCAGTTATGTGATGAGTAATACAGAACAGTGCAGAAGTCAGAGACCACCCTTCATTCATTTAATTTCCAGTCAAATCAGCCATTAAGTGCAAGTTGATTTCTCAGGAGGTGTTCTGAGGAGATTAAATCTAAAATAACCTGCATAAAAAAGGAAAATCAAAAAATAAGTAAACAAACAGGAGTTTCCAAAACGAGTTCTAAAACATGGCTAAAAGAAAATGGGACCCCTAACGACCGAGACCTGGTGGATACAGTCAATACTGAAAATGTTGATCCTGTATTTGGTTGTTGAGGCTTTTATGTTAATTATGTTTTCTGCTGAAAAATGAATCATTTATACTTTATAGACATTTTGACTGGATATGAAAGAAATGAAGGGTGGTCTCTGACGCTTCCACAGTACTGTAAGACACATGCATACTTGATACAGGAGGCTTTCATTCAGCATACACACTGAGACAAACACACACACACACACAGCAGTTCAGGCACACACTCCAAGTTTACCCCTATAGATCCGTGTGAATGGAGGATGAGTGTACTGAAGTACTGAAAACAGCACCGTATAGCGCTGATAATGTTGCCAAGGATCGTAAACCTGACCGTTATTGTGTGAACAGTTGCCTTGTGTTTGTGTGGATGGTGTTGTTAATAAATATTGTTTACCAGAGGTGTGTAGTACAAAGGTGAACTCATGGGTTAGCTCGCAGAGTTTAAAGTCAAAGTTCAGGGCTCGACCTGAATGACTTCACTTTGCTAACCTGTGACTCCAGCTCTGTGGTGCAGACTCCTTTTTGTTTACTAGAACCTCATGTAAGCAACAAGCTGTTTTACTGTTGTATCTAACCACAGCATACCCCGATTGATTAACCGCTACTAACGATCAGAGTAGTGTTCGTCATAATAACAGTAATGGTAGTAAGAGTTGTTGTAATGTTGTTCAACTAATGCCTTTTTACCAAAGGATGACCTTAGCAGTTGTAGCAGCAGCACTAATGGTTTTAACTCCAGTGGACAATTTGGTCAGTAGTTCAGGTCCAGAAAGTGGAAATCCTCCTGTGTTTTTGTTCCAACTGTCTGGCCTCGCTAGTTCACTCAAACTAGCAGTGGAGGTGTCCAGGCAGGTGGAACAAAACCCGGAGGATTTTTACCTTCTGGACCTCAGTTACTTACCTCTGCAGACAAATCAGCACCTGGGCTTATAGCCTGGCTGGAGGTTCAGGATTCACTCAGATTTATGTTTTTGCATGACTGAAATAGAGATATTTTGTGAATGATTGATTGCCATCTCATCTTAATCTATACTGCCTATCCAAGGATTGGGGACACCGAGCTTCACAAAATGTTTTAATTCATTAGCATAGTTTCTTTGTAGATTGTGGAACCGACCACTTCAGATTTGCTAAATACTTTCAAGAAAGACGCATCATGACCAAAATATAATGTGGAAAATTTGTCATTTTTTTCCTTTTATGTTTAATGGCTCATAAATCACAGTGTCTAATTACAAATATGCAAATGCATTAACCTCAAAAAGATTAAAAAAGATTAATCTGATTTCAAAGCACCATATTTTTATGACCGCAAGGTGCCGAGGAACCAATCACAATCCAATTGAAAGTGGGGGTCATAGAGACTGTCAGTCTGGCAGTGAACCTCCAACAGCTCAGAGCGTTCATCGTTGGTACCAACAGTTCCAAGAAGAAGGCCACCAGCCTCACCAGATCTCACGCCGTGTGACTTTATTTGTGGGGGACGTTAAGGGTTCGGTTTATGTGCCACTCCCAACAACACTGGATGATCTCCGAAATCGCACTGAAAGAGCCGTGAGTGCAGCGACACCCGACACGCTCAATCCAGTATGGGATGAGTTTGACTATGGTGTTGATGTTGTCTGTACAGCTGGAGGAGGTTCAGACTGAGACCTTGTACAATTACATAATAAACTTTATGCTCATTTAAACCATTTACAGTTCACTGCATTGATCTGTAATGATTTACAGATTAAGTTAAATAAATCATTCAAATCAGAATCTTTTGAATCACCCTGTATTTAGTTGCCAAAGCTGAACTGTAATATGTGTAATAAATGCCAAAGTAAGATCTCATGTGCTGCAGTATGGAGATATGGATGGTGCCAAATTGAGCACCACCTCCAAGATTTTCATCAAGCCAAACTTACATGGAGTCAGATTCATTCAACTGAATAAAAGTACTGCTTACATGATTGAAAAGGAAGAGTGAGAATCAGGCATTAATCTCTCCAGGTGTCTCCAAACCTTTGATGAGCAGTTTGATTTCATAACCAGCCTCTTTGATTTGTTTAACCGGCTCACTGTAGATCCACGACTGATTTGTGCTAACCTCTCAATCAAATGCAAATGGACTAATATTCACACATGAATCATCTGTTTTTCTTTCTTCACATTCTTTATCCTCCACTACTCTCTTCATTTCCCTCCTCCTCTCCTCTCCCCTCCTCTCCTCCTTTCCTCCCTTCCTTTTAGATGCGTTCTGGCCAGATAACAAGGAAACTCTGGGGCTCCAGTAAACGCCTGACCCAGATCTCGTCCGGAGAGACGGAGTACCCCACCCAAGAGCACCTTTGACCCTTGTCCCCTAGGCCCTACCCTCACTGCCCTTTCAATCATCACCATCTCCCAATCAGGGTGAAGCAGCATGTGTGATTGGATGAGGCTCTCCTCTGCCTGCTGTCTGAGAAAGAAAGAAAAAGGACGCAGTGGTTTCTTGTCGTTAAAGAAACAGTTCAGCCAAAAATGGAGTTTACATGTTTTTCCTCCCTCTTTAGCCCGGATTAGTCCATCAGCCCACATACAAAGACTCATCTGGTGTCTGAAGTTCAGTTCTTTAGTTTTGCACTGGAGCTGCAGGGCTAATGGCACTAACATGTAACGGAAGCTGGTAACTGCATCGGGTTGTTAGGGAATCTCAAATAGACGTATTTGTGTGGTTTATAGGACAGAGGTGCTCAATCCCTGTCTTGGAGATCCTGGAGAGTTCAGATCCAACACATCTGACAGGCTTCATTACCTGGATCAGGTGTGATCGATTAGGGTTGGAGCTAAAACAAAATTGAGCACCGTTACTTGTTAGTCTTGTAGCTTCTGTGCAAAACTAAACAAGCAAACTCCACTGAACATGGTTGACCACGTTTGGTGCAAAGGGAACCATATAAACTTCATTTTGGACTGTCGCTTTAAGTGTAGGTGAGATTATCCTCTGTTTAAGTTTTTATACATGTTAAGTCTTATTGTGTGTGTTTTGACCAGTGGTTGGTCCAGTGCGGGCGCTGTTGTCCAGCTACATGTGTCAGATTCTAAGACTTTACTACATCCTTACATCTATTGCCTCAACGCTTGACCCCTTGATGTCACTCGTTGACCCCCTCTCTCCCTTCTCCACTCAGCCACTCACTCCACAGATCCATCATTAAAGCGATAGTTTGATGAAAAATGACGTGCACCCCATGCAAATGTAGTTCATCAGCTTGGACTGAAGTTTGCTTCTTTAGTTTTGCAGTGGAGCTGCAGGGCGACGGAGCAACAGGGGGGCAGTTTTTTGGACTGCTTTATGCAAATCAATTATTAAGTGGTGCAGTGACTCTAAACTTTAGGTTTATATTATAAATAAAATGGTGATACATATCGCTGTAGGTAAAAAAAAAAAAACCTGTGTCTCCAAATTTGTAACTTTACAGCGGAAAAAACCGTGTACCTCCGTTTATCCATGTACATCCAATTATCCTTTGCATAGTATTCAGTATTCATGATGAACAGACCAACAGAAATGGTTCAAAACTACTTGCTAAAAGATCTTGTAACATTAACTTCCATCACAAGTTAAGAATGTTTTTCCATCTCCAGTAAAGTTACACGTTTTGTTCTGACAGCGATAATACAGATTTTAGATACATATATTTTTACATTTTCTGGTCAGAATGTGGACCCTGTACATGACATGAGGAGTGGCCTTAAACGCCCCCCCGAGTGACAAACACAGATATTTCACACATATTTTAAGAAAATTGTCATACAGTGTCAGAAACCACAACGAGTTTATCTGAGATTTAATGACTCAGTTTGAATGATGCTAATTGGAGGGATTTGATCTTCCAGTATTTGTTAGCATTGCAGCTCCAGTGCAGAACAAAAAGGGCATATTTGGACAAACATGTCTAAGCTGATTCACCACGTTTGGGGTAACGGGGGAAACCATGCACATTTAATTTTCACCAAGCTGTCGTTTAACACCACTGCGCACTAGTCACTACAGGATCGGAGAGAGTGGGCATGTGTTTCAAATATTCCATCGCTTTAATTTTCAGAGGCCTTCTTGTTTCTTTAGCCTTTCATTTCTACACACGCAGAGAAATGCAGATTTTATACTATTCACAGAGAGAGACTCCGAAATGCAGCATTTACAGCAGCTCAAACTTTGACCAAGGCAGTGAGGAGCACACTGAGGCTAAAACAGTGTGTGTTTGTGTGTGTGTGCACGTTTTTGACTAACTGTTGAATGTGTTTTTGATTATTACTTGAATTCTAGATTATTTATTTAAATGAAGATTAATCGCTGATTTTTAATATTGTGGATATGATCACAGCCGCAGCGCTCGGTGTAGTTCTCTTCTGTTTGTAAAGCTTTGGGGAAACACTACAGCTCATATCAGAGGGGGAGGTTTTGAAGGGCTTCATTAGTGCTAACTGTAAGCAATATAATCCCCCTGCTAGCCACAAATGCTAATGGTACATTCCACTTTCTAATGCAGTGACTGACCAGTACCCTCCAGTCTTCCTGTGTTTTTGAATAGGGATCACACTACAGGGGCGGGAATTCTGCCGCAAGGCAGGAAAACTACAATGGCCATCACATCCATACACTGACTGGCGAAAGTTTGGGGACGCTTAGCTTTTCATTAGTGTATCGTTTATAGCGGATTACCTGTGATATTGGTCTCACGCAACAACATCGTGTTCAGTGCTATTGAACACATTGAATAACAGTATTAGCATTATATCCATGGTCACATTCAGTTTCACAGTCCTGTTCCTGAAGCCACGGCGCTTCTCTTTGATGCAGCGTTAAGAGAATAAAAAAAAAAAATACAATTCATAAATAAAAAAAATAAAATAAAATAACAATCCAGTCAAAACAAGCTGTCAGATTTGCTGTCAGTTCCACTCAGCACTACTTTAATGGTTTTATGAGCATATTTTCATTATTTGTTTACAATAATTTATCATATTAAAGCTTAAGGAGATTTATTTACAGCCTATTTATCCCCTTGTTGTGATGTCAGCGCTCCAAACTTTCAGGCGTTTAAACCACCGTTTGAATTAAACACATTTCGATATGTGATTTTTACAATAGTTTGGCTAAAATAACTTCTATTTAGATAAAATCTGCTCTTTATACCAAAGAATGTTGAAGATAATTATAACCAAATCGATTAATTTATTTTAAGGCTAACTAAGCTAAATTTGTGACTGTTTTCTAGCTAATGCTAAAGCATCGGCTTTGAAGCCCTGAAGGACAGAATATCTTTTATTCGGAAAAAGCTACAAAGTAATCAGGTCCAGAAAATATCAGTTAAGGCTGTGATCAAAGACGCGACTTTTCTAGCTAATGCTGAAGCTTTAGCTTTGACCCTCTGAAGGACAGCATGTACAGATCGCTGTTTTATGCCAGTGAAACCTTTGCAGTTAATTGTTTGTACTTAAGTGAAAAGTAACATTTCCCCCCAGCACTAATTTTTTATTATGGCTTTATAGAAATTACCATATTTTCTTTGTCTGGAGTTTTTAAACACTGTGTCCACTCACTGTCCACTCTATTAGATACTCCTACCTTGTCAGTCCACCTTGTAGATGTAAAGTCAGAGACGATAGCTCATCTGCTGCTGCACAGTGTGTGTTGGTCATCCTCTAGTCCTTCATCAGTGGTCACATGACGCTGCTGGCTGGATGTTCTTGGTTGGTGGCCTATTCTCAGTCCAGCAGTGACACTGAGCTGTTTTAAAAACCTCAGCAGCTCAATGCAAATGGACAGTGAGTGTGGAAACAAGGTGGTTTTAATGTTGATTAATGTATCATATTAAACAGGGTTATTTAACAAGGAAAACAGTGTCACATGTAAATATCAGGGACAATATCAGTGACAGAGCTACTCACAGCATGATGCCAGACTCTTTGTCATGATTTAAACCATTATTGTCATTATTTAGGTTGACTCCACTCTTCATACCAAAAAAGACCTTCTGAAGAACATGAAGCTGAGTGCTGAAGATGAACATACCCAAAGGATTATATTTAGGGCTAAGGACTAGCTAATGCTAATGCTAAAGCCTCAGCTTGGAAGCTCTCACAGTCCTTTTCCACTGCCATTCGAGGATCAGTTAAGGCTCCTCTCTAAGATGTGTTCGTAACTGTTTTCTAGCTGAAGCTCCACCCTCGAGCCTCTCGAGCACAGCGTGAATAAAGAGCTGCTTTGCCGAAACTTTGCCAATTTATTTTTTTTCCATACTTAAGTGAAAAGTAACATTTAGACTGTTTTAATTTCGTAAGAAAGTGACGTGTCCTCAAACTTGATCAGGCGGTGTGTGATGTGGGCTGTTGTTGGTAACTCGCTCCCCTTTTTCTTCTAGTTTTAAGCCATTCGCCGTTTACTATGCAGAGAAACTCCTCGGCCTTCAGAACTGTTACTGATAGGAGTTTGAATTCCTGCTCTTCCATATGCAGTTTATCTTTTTGAACCGTCTGAAGGTGTGTGTGTGTGTGTGTGTGTGTGTGTAAATCATGGGATCATGAATGTGTGTCTGCTAAGCAGAAATGACTTTTCTGTTTGGATTGTGTTTCTTTATTTTCTTTCGCGCCATCTGAGTGAAGGCTTTTCAGTGATTTGCTGAGGAATTGAGCTTTATCGTTCTTAGTCGTGTTGGATTTGTTCTTCACCGATATCAAGCTAATCCTTAATGATGCCAAATTCTCGATCAGGACTGATGTGTGCTTCCTGTGCTGTAGGTAAACATGGTGCTTACTTTGGGTCACGATGTAAAGAGAAAGCCAGAGGGATTAGGGCTGGGTATGCTGTGGAGATGTTATTGTTGTTGTTTTTATCATTGTTTTTTTTACTGTCTTAAAGTGCTCGCTATCCCTGCCTTTGGATTATATGAAATACTAAGAGACCAGTATAAACGTTTAGACACTTTTTGTCAGCCCATTATTTAGGATGCCTTTAGGAATGTTGCCCCGCCCCCCTCTGCTAGAGAACTTCCAAACGCTTGTTTGTTTATTTGTTAGTTTTTTTTCTCCCTCAAAAATCCTCTAAAGACAGAAATGGAGTGCCTTTTTTAATTCCCACACTTCCTCGCATGACTAGGTTGTTCAGACCGTAGTAGGATTTTGACCCTTCTCCTCCGGACAGCAGCATTCCACAGAGCAAGACTGTATGGGAACCAAAAATCGAGGAAAAATGAACACAACAAATCAAAATCAAACCATATCAGACCTGTGACTTAGCTGCTTTAACTCTGTCACCAATGGTTGTGTGTGTGTGTATATCTGTGCTTATTTATAAATACAGTATAAAATGTACAGCATGATTTTTATTTCTGTCTGAATTGTATTTTTTTGCACTTTCCAGGTACGACAAATTGTAAGAGATTGTTTTAAATGTCTTCTTGATCTGTACAGACAAACTGCTTTGTATACACACTTGGAAAATGATCATTAAAGTTGTGTTGGAAATCACTCAGCTGGGCTTCTTTCATGCAGTGTGTGTGTGTGTGTGTGTGTGTGTCTGAGTGTGTGAGTTTAATGTTGTGTTTTATAGTTTTGAATAACGTTATAGATCTGTAAGATAAATGTAATTACAACATCTTTAGTGTTTTCTTCATAATCATTTTCAGACCTGTTCTCGAGGAAGACCAGAAGACCTGAAACGTGTAGTTAAAGAAGTCTGAAGCTGCCAGTAGGTTAAGGAGTTTTAATACACCATAATAATACACCAACTGTATGAATGAGACAGATCTGCCTTCTATTCCATTACAGTGTTGCCTATATTCATCCATCTTTAGTGCCTTATTATTAATAAACACCTGCCCTTTCGCCCCCTGACGTCTCTGCCCTTATTTGATATTTATTGGTTGATTGCAAAGTTATGCGCAAGGCAGGCTTTTTAATCAAGAGGAGTTTAAACTGCTAATAAAGGGGCTTTCCAGCCTAAAGCTAGAGTTCAGTAAAACCTGTGGACATCTTGCCTTTATGAGCTTGTCAGACATCTCACTTCTGAACCCACACCCTGAAAAACAGCTCCAGCCCATTATCCGTCCTCCACCAAAGTTCATGGTATCCGGGGGGAGTTCTCTGCTGGCATTCGCCAAACCCAGATTTGTCCATTAGACTGCCAGAGTGTCGTTACTCCAGACAACACGTTTCATTAGGCTTGTTTGTGCTGCTGCTCAGCCATGGAAACTCGTTCTGAAGCTCCCATTGCTCAGTTCGTGTGCTGATGTTGCTTCCAGAGTCAGTTCAGATCTCTGTAGTAAGTGATGCTACAGAGTACAGTTAAATTTTATGTGCTACATGTTTCAGTACTCAATGGTCCGGCTCTGTAAGTTTGCATGGCTAACTTTGGGCCCTCAGGTGGCACCGCATTAAAAACAGACATGATTCTGTAGTGAAATCACTGCATGGGCTCAGAAACTCTTCTGAAAACCACTGTCTGTGAAAACAGTCCGTTGCTGCATCTACAAATGCAAGTTAAAACTCTAAAACTCAAAGAAGAAACCAAATATAAACAGGATCCAGAAACGCTGTGCTGTGCACTGCTGTGTCTGATCCACTCAGACCAGCACAACACACACTAACACACCACCACCACGTCAGTGTTACTGCAGTGCTGAGAATGATCCACCACCCAAATAGTACCTGCTCTGTGAGGGTCCATGGGGGTCCTGACCGCTGAAGAACAGGGTAAAAGGGGGCTAACAAAGTATCAGAGAAACAGATGGACTACAGTCTGTAACTGTAGAACTACAAAGTGCACCTATATAGTAAGTGGAGCTGATAAAATGGACAATGAGCGTAGAAACAAGGAGGAGGTCATAATGTTATGCCTGATCAGTGTATGTTGTTTTTTCTTTTTCTCATTTATTTATTTTTTTGTTTGTTTTTTGTCTGACTTTCATTTTGTTATTTTAGAATATTTGCTGCTGTTAATTGACCCTTTTAGTGTAGTAATGGTGTATGTCGTCAATAAAAAAAGATGAGGGAAAAAAAACAGTATAAAAAGTTTGATTTCCTTGTTTTACAGTTCTCACGAGGACAACTCGGAATTAACCTTCAAACCGGAATCCTTAAATGAATGATATTGTTTTTTTCCAGTGTTGGTGTCCGTAATGCTTTATTTTTAAATTACAACTAAGCCATTTTTTCTCAACACGAGGGATATTTTCTTTTGTGAAATAAGTAAAATAAGATAAAACAACCATAAATGGTGTAAATGGGTCATTCTACAGAAACGTCCACTTTTCTGTCTCTCCATAGGAGTCACTGGTGTTACTGATCCTCATTGGTGTTCCACATAATAAAGGAACACCAGAGACATTTTTATGAAACATGCATTTTACAGACTGGCTGCTACAGAGCATCAAACCACATGTTGTCAATCATGGAATATCCACCAAAATATGGAATTTAATAAAGTACAGAATAAAGTCGGTCACACAAGTGACTTCAGCTAAAAGCTTCATATGAAATCATGAGCTAAATTACATTACACAATTACTCCCTAGTGTATTTCAAACCATTTCTATAAATTAATTTTAGTAACTTTTTGCCATTTTTCTTTTCGTGCACTCTAAGGTACCAAAATAGTTCATGAGCTCTATGAAAACCATAAAAAGATGGTGTTGATTTCATATCCGTTACTTTACGTATGAAACATTTTCCTAACAGTAAAATAACATTTACAACCATTTCAGAATCTGTGTCTCGGAAAAGCATATTCCATAAATAATATCTGCCTTAAACAAACTAAAACCCACAATCTCTGGGTATAACTAAAACTGTAAATCATCCCCAAATGTGTTCGAGTCCGTGCAGGACACAAACCAACGCTCAGTTGTTTCATTATCTTCTTTACAGAAAGCACAGATTAAACCTCTCAGAAGCTCTTCAGGCGGATATTGTCCAAATCACCCCTTTTTAATTCACTCACTGTCCACTCTATCAGCTCCACTGACCACACAGTCCCACTCTATCAGCTCCACTGACCACACAGTCCCACTCTGTAGTCCCACAGTTACAGACTGTAGTCCATGTTTCTATGCATACTCTGTTACCCTGTTCTTCAGTGGTCAGGACCCTCATGGACCCTCACAGAGCAGGTACTATTTGGGTGGTGGACTTTTCTGTAGAATGACCCGAATGTAAAAAGCACAGCGCGAGGAAAACAAAACATAAAAGTTTGATTTCAGGGCTCGCGGCGAAGGCCTTCCCCTGTTCTCGCGATAAGCCCCTCTGTGTTCTCGCGTGGTCTGGCAGGGGGAGTAAACAGTCGCCATTTGTCGAGAGTGAGAGCGGATCAGAGAGGAGATCAATCACCGATATTATCAATTCAGCCGCCATTCTGTCCCGATCGGTGCGGGGTTCTGATAGCGGAGGGTTCAGCAGAGACCAGCGCGGCTGCTCCCCCTCCTGCAGCTGAGACTGCCGGGGTTATTAGAGCCAGCAGCGCGGCTGGGCCTGGACTGGAGCTCACACACCTCACACACACTGAAACACTCTCACACTCTCAGACACTCTCTCAGACTCTCAGACCCGCTGTTACTCCTAAAATGATCATTGAAAACCTCGACGCCTTGAAGACGTGGCTTTCTAAGACCCTCGAGCCCATGTAAGTGTCTGTTTACCTGCCTGCATGGCGAGTTAGCTTAGCTGCGTTAGCTTCAGCCGCACTAACACATGAGGTCGCCTGGCGGCTTTTATCTTCAGTAAATCCGAGTTTATTCTAAACTTCTGCGCTTCACTCGTAGATTTTTCTGCTCATGCACCGCTGAGCCTCCTCACTGAAGGTGGAGGGCGAAGGATTCAGCTGTAGCTTTTACTGACGAAGCTTTTCTGCTCTAATAAGTGCAGCTTCTTTCACCGCTCGCTGCCCTCAGCGCTGTGAAGCTCAGCGGTCAGAGCCGCACACCGCGCACAGAACCTGCATATGAGCTAAACGAAATACTAAAACACCTTATTTACTGATGGTGGTTCAGTGGAGGAAAGCTCAGTGGAGGTGAATGTTACAGGAGGTGTGGTAGTCAGGTGGACAAAATCCATTGGTACAAATCCAGGCTTTGAATAACCAGCTGTACACAGCACCTCCTTGTTTCTGCGCTCATTGTCCATTTTATCAGCTCCACTTACTATATAGGGTCACTTTGTAGTTCTACAGTTACAGACTGTAGTCCATCTGTTTCTCTGATACTTTGTTACCCTGTTCTTCAGTGGTCAGGACCCCCATGGACCCTCACAGAGCAGGTACTATTTGGGTGGTGGATCATTCTCAGCACTGCAGTAACACTGACGTGGTGGTGGTGTGTTAGTGTGTGTTGTGCTGGTATGAGTGGATCAGACACAGCAGTGCTGCTGGAGTTTTAAACACTGTGTCCACTCACTGTCCACTCTATTAGACACTCCTACCTTGTCAGTCCACCTTGTAGATGTAAAGTCAGAGACGATAGCTCATCTGCTGCTGCACAGTTTGTGTTTGTCATCCTCTAGTCCTTCATCAGTGGTCACAGGACGCTGCCCACAGGACGCTGTTGGCTGGATATTTTTGGTTGGTGGACTATTCTCAGTCCAGCAGCGACACTGAGGTGTTTAAAAACTCCAGCAGCACTGCTGTGTCTGATCCACTCAGACCAGCACAACACACTAATACACCACCACGTCAGTGTTACTGCAGTGCCACCACCCAAATAGTCCCTGCTCTGTGAGGGTCCATGGGGGTCCCGACCACTGAAGAACAGGGTAAAAGGGGGCTAACAAAGTATGCAGAGAAACAGATGGACTACAGTCTGTAACTGTAGAACTACAGAGTGAGACTGTGTGGTCAGTGGAGCTGATAAGATGGACAATGAGCGCAGACAAAGGAGGTGATTTTAATGGTATGACTGATTGGTGTAAGTGAGGCAAAAGTAGTTTGTGTGCCTGTGTTACTTTTATTCCCCTCTATTTATTGCCTTATTTTTTAAACATCTTTTACAACTGGAATGATAAGAATTATTCCCCTCATTAAGACGGGTCTGTTTTTTCACTCATTTGCCTTTATTTTTGCATCTTTCGCATTTTCAGCTAAACGGTGTTCTGAGCTGCGTGTTTGCAGTTCTATTCTGCAGCTTTAGTCTTCAGTTTCTGGGAGGCCAGGTTTCAAAAGCGCAATGCAGTATTGATATTTTAATGTTACTGAAGCGTAAAAATTCTCATGTGGTGGCTTGAAGGGTTGAACTACACAGCAGTGACCTAAATCTGTGATTTAACCTCTTTCGCTCGTAGGTACTTTTCAGTTTTTTCCATCTGAATTTCCATGCACAAATCGTAAGGCAAATTATTCAGCAGTTGCATGAAATAAAAGGTTTTTTTTTTCTTTTGTAAAAGCTCCCTCAAATTAACAGAGCATGTGTTTTATGATCATACACATATTGATATATGCTTACAGTTTACTGCTGAAAGCCAAAAATCTTAGACGCTCTTTGTAT